AACTATGTTTAATTTTCTGACTCTGGTGAAAATTGTACCAATGTCTACCACCTTGACTAACGTTCAAACAGGGCGTCTGTCCACCTTTTTGACTCTAATGTAAACCGTACCTCTGGTTACCTTTTCGGCGCAAGCGTCAATCGGACCTATGTTTAGCTTTTTGATTCCCGTGCAAACCAAACTAATATATCTACCCGTCGGTCGTCTGTCAAAGTCTAAGAATTTGGCGTTAAATACACTGGGAGTGGTTCATATAATGGTTAACAATACAAATAGTTTATACAATTACGCCCACGCATACAAACATACACAAATATTCACACACACATGCACACACGCACATACACACACAAAACAACAAAATTTATGCTCGAAGGAATACGATTATAAGAGAGCCAAAAGAGTGCTTGCCGTTTTTTTAAGTCGTATGTGAAGAGAGGATTAGTGTTGCACAAATAAGTGCATCACGTGCCGGGCGAGCAACGAGAGTGTGTTCATTGCTCGTCATCTATGTAGGTGCGTTGCACACACACACACACATCAGTCATAGCTCGAATAGCGGCGAAGAAATATGGCGCCACAGTAACATCAAGTCGCCGGATACGTCAAGCCTTTGCTGTGAGTTAACAAACCACCAAGCACTGTTTGTAGAAGTTCAGGTCTATGGATCTGTTCTTTTGTGATAAAACCCCACAGTTGAGCAGGTGGTTAACCCACACATTGTCGATAGCTAACAAGCAACAACGCACGACAGTCTTTTTCTCCTTGCTTTCTCGGCACCGCAACATACCTATATTTAATCGACTACTCACCAGTAACGATAAAGTGAGTCTTACATGACACTCCCAAGTATGTCAGAGATTGGTTATCACCTCATGACCCTGTTCCTCACATCATAAAACCCACGGAAGGTCATGTTCTACCCTGGTGGACTAGTTGACAAGTGGTGCACTATAAAGCTGCTACAAACGAGCCAAACCGTCTTTGCGTATCCGTACTAGAAGCAGTAGGCACTAAAGCAAAAGGTCAATCGCAAGAGTGTACTGTTCCTCCATGACAATGCCTGGCCTTATGTGGCACAAGTGGCCAAGGATACAATACGGATACTTGACTATGAGACATTGTGCTATCCACCTTAGACCTCTGATCTTGCGCCAACAGATTACCACTTATTTCATTCCCTGGACAATTACGTTCGTGGGAAATCCTTCGAAAATGTGGGAAACTTGTGACAGACACTCAGATTCTTTGCGCCAATGAAATCTTATTTTTACCTCCAGAGCATTGTGCTGTCGGAGGTACGTTCCCAAATGGTTCTGGATTCTGATGGGGATTACTTTAAGGTCAAATTGTATATCAAATTCGCTGTGTACCTTTTTTTTCTAATAAATCCAAAAAGGCAAGGACTTTTTTGGTAACTTGTAGTTCGAGTTTGTGTAAATACACCATACCTCTCCTCACGCGTCAAGACCACCTCTACACCCACGCAAGATTATGCTTTGTATCTGGTGGACTAGTCGACAAGTGGTGCACTATGATCAGCTATCAACCAGTGAAAGAATCACTGCAAACCTGAACTCTCAGCAGTTGGAGTGTGTGTAACAGGCATTGAAGCAGAAGGTGCCAGCATTGTTTAAACTGAAGGATGTTCTGTTCCTCCTTGACAATGTCAAGCCTCATGTGGCGCGCGTGGCCAGGGATAGCAGACGACGACTGTTGACACTTTGTCATGCACCTTACTCCCCGAACCTCTGACTAACAGATCGCCTCTTCTATTCCCTGGACAACCACCTTCGTGAGAAATCTTTCGCAAAATTGTCAGTCTTGTGGCAGGCAACTTCAGATTTCTTTGCGTCCAAGATATCTTATTTTTACCGTCAGGGCATTGCTGGTGGCACGTTGGCAAAACATTCTGGATTCCAATGTGGATTACTTTGAGGGCTAAAGGTATGTCATTTTTGCTGTGTATATTTTCCTAATAAATCAAAAACGGTATGTATTTTTCTGGTTACCTTGTAATCATTTAGGATCTTCTAGAGTTTAAATAAATGTCAAGATGCAAATAAATGAGGATGAGGATATGAATAAGATTTTTAAACAATGAACATAAATCTGATTACACAGCAAAACGGCTTTGTAAATCCTAATTTTTGATCTTGGAAAGCAGTCTACATTAATACTCGTCTCATTTACTTTGTTCGCTAATCAGTGGTCATGATCTGTTTTCAGAGGAAATAAGCATGAGAACCCAAACTCGTACCCCGTTATCTCGGCACCAATTGACAAACAAACCACGACGTTCAAAAACCGAATTATTTGAAGAGAAACCAGGTAAAATCAAATTCCTTAATCCTCATATCTATTCGGTGGGTTAGAGCACCCAAAATAAAGAAAGCCGTTTACTATCTTTTAAATTCGGTTATCTTGGTGTTAACCTCAATATGTCCTCTTATATTTACATTTTATATATATATATATATATATATATATATATATATATATATATATATATATATATATATATATATATATATTGAGACATTTTTTATGTTTATACATTCTTTTTTATAGATACAAATATTTAAGTAAAAGCTCTGTTTATAATAAACAGTATTAAACAACATTTACCGGTCTGAATGTCCGAGAAATTTTCACAGAAAATATTCGTCCTACGACAGGATTCGAACCTGTATCGTATACGGAACCGTCATTTAGTATTTGGCCACAGAGGAGCGTTCGGTTAGCAAGGCCGAATTTACTGCATTTGAACTTCAATCTTCTATGAATCTCTCTCGTACATTCATATCTGCTCATGGTGTATCAAATGACGTCACACATTATGATATATATATATATATATATATATATATATATATATATATATATATGGAATTGAAAATCAGGTATAGATAAAACGTATCTTTTCAGAAAGTATTAAGGAAGAAAACCTTTTTACGCGAAGGAACCTCGTTCCTTGAGGTAATATTAAAGTAAATTTATAAAATTTATTTAGTAACCAATATTTTATACACAAATGAAAGCGACATTAATTCACTTTCGTTTAACATGCCAAAAACTTACGTTACTTAGCGTCTTCCATTATTTTGCGCAAGTAAAATTTTCGAATATTTTAGGGCCTTCTCCAGTTCAAAAATTTAATGGCTAAACATTATTTTTCTTGTTTCTTATATATATATATATATATATATATATATATATATATATATATATGGTAAATAAATAAAAAGATTCTAACTTTCGTTTGATAAAATTCCTCAAGGAACAAAAACCGTCGGCATTAATGATTTTCTCTTACCATTTCTTTTATACAAGGGCTGATATAAGTCAAGTGCTGATATAGACACTGAAATTAACACCAAGCGGCGACAGTCTGTTTCTCTTGAAACTAAAGACATTAAACGACTTATAATAGTCCTATTCTATTTTAGGACATTCTCCATTTGGAGAAAAAAAAATGTCCAACATGACGCTGACTACAATCGACAAGCGCTGGTAGTTTCAAGAGAAAATAAAGACAAAAACTGCCAAACATATTACCCCGAGTAAATATTGGATTAACTCGACAAACGAATTTTTACCAATTCTTCATGCTGTAAAACCAAGTAACCAAATAATCGAATCTTTTGATGTACAAAATTTATTTAGTAATGTCCCCGTCAATTAAACGATTAACATCATTATTCGTGATGTATATAATCACAATTCTCTTCCACCATCAATAATAAACCCGCTATTTAAAAAATAATATTATTAGTATGTACCACTCAAGTAACTTTTCATGTATCACCCCCGCTTAATATTTATACTCAAAATAACGGTATGGCGATGGGATACCCTTTAGGCCCCCTTTTTCTAATTATTATATGGCACATTTTGAAAATAAAATACTTAATGACACTAATAAATCCCCTATATATGTAGGATGCATAGATTGCATTTTTATTTTAGCTAAAAATATTGATCAAATTACACAATTTAAAAACAAATTTGAAAAACATTGCGTCCTTAAATTTACACTAGAACTGAACATTAATAATAAAATTCCATATCTTCATTCTAACACGCGTTTGAATGAAGATATGCTGCCTAGTCACACACGCACACATATATATATAACGTCACACATTATGAAATGGACAAAGTTCGACAATTATTTTAAGACAGTTTTTACGTTTACACATTCTTTTTATAGATACAAATATTTAAGTAAATACTCTGTTTACAATAAACAGAATTCAAACAACATTTACCGGCCTGAATGTTCGAGAAATTTTCACGAGAGGATTCGAACCTGAATCCTATACGGTACCGTCATTTACCTTTACCGATTTGGCCACGAAGGAGCGTTCTGTTAACAGGGTCGAATTTACTGTATTTAAACTTCAATCTTCCATGAATCTCTCACGTACATTCATCTCTGATCATGGCGTATCAAATGTAAACAAATGACGTCACACATTATGAAATGAACAAAGCCGACAATTATTTTATGACATTTCTATGTTTATCAAACAACATTTACCGGCCTGTAAATGTTGTTTAATGCTGTTTGTTATAAACAGAGCATTTACTTAAATATTTGTATCTATAAAAAGAATGTACTAATATAAAAATGTCTTAACACACACACACACACACACACACACACACATATATATATATATATATATATATATATATATATATATATATATATATTCCGAGCCATTTGTATCCATTTCTCTACCATCATATCCACTAAATTTTGGTGATTACAGTCGTTAACTTTACATTATTAACTGTTAGTAAATATCAGTAACTTCATGCGCACTTTCGTGTCAGATATCATTTGCCAAATAGCTACTAACGCTAATGTTTAATATCAGTTTTATTGGATCTTGGAGTAAACCCTGTGTGTGTGCATGTATTTCTTATTACCTTAAATGTTATTCTGGTAGACGAGCATCCTCGAAGACGAGTGGCCAGACATACATACATACATAGAGAGAGACAGAGAGAGAGAGAGAGAGCGAGCGAAAGAGAGAGACTGAGAAGATATAGCCGGAAAGAGATAAACAGAGTGAGGTATATACAATTTAATATACACTATGTATTTTATTTATTTCTTTTACATTACAGACGTTTGCCAATCCGCCCAAGGACATCAGCACGAAGAAAATAAATTTAGACATGTGGGTTCGATCCTAAGCTCGAGAGATGTTCCGATTTCATGTTTACCTAATTTTGGTTTGAGAACTAATTCACCATTTTATTATACAACCGATTCGAAAAATGACACGATCAGAGTCGACGACACCCGACCCATCCAATTGACACCCCTACGGTATCACAACCATCAACACCATCATCATCACCATCACCATCACCACCACGGGTACTCGGCCTTTAACAGCACCGGCTACGACATAACGAAATCCTATCTACCCCAATACGGCAAAAGCTCCTTTGCAGACTATATGGCTGGGAATCTACAACAAAACAAGGGCATGATCAAATCAGTAGATAGGTTTGTAGATAACACGTCACGTGCAAGTCGAGCTACTGATAGTTTAAATCCCAAAGTCGACTCAGAGCATCGTGCTTTAACGAAGAACGCTCAGTACGATATAAGGGCTAATTCTTATAGTTGCTATAGCAATCGGCCTCATTTCGATGCTTGCAATGTTGGCAGAACCTATGCAAATGGTAGCTACCAAGGAACATTGCTGCAAGACACCTTCGATCCAGCATTGAAATATTACAGTCGTTGTTTGGATGCACATAAAGGTATATATATATATTTTTAATCTTTATACGTGTGTAGAATTTGATTCACGCCAACAAATACCACATGGTTTGAACTGAATTTAATGTCAATAAGGAACCTTTGTTCTAAGAGAAATCGATCTTTGATGTATTAAAATAGACTTAACGCTCAGTCTCACCAGAGCGTCAAAGAAACTGGGCTTGTTTTTTGGGGGTTTTTTTGTTTTTTGTTTTTTGTTATTTCATACTCACCAACAGGGTGTATAAAATCTATGGACGGAAAAAAGATATTAGAGAAAAAAAAAATGCTTCAGAGATGGAACGAATATATAGGTGAACTCTTCAACGACGAAAGAGAACAACCGATAAAGAAATGCCGACCGACAGGAAATATTGAAAGACTGTTATGGTCCGGTTCCTTGTATCATGGTGATAGTCCAAGGTAGAACCAATAAAAAAGAACTCGAACACGGATATGGAATAACACAGATATATTACAAACAGGAATATATACAAAGACGTAGAAAGCCTTAGTACGAACAATCAGATTTAGTAGGGAGAACAATGTAGTCTCGACCAGTATCACTATTGCAATGCCTTGTAGTAATTGTCTGAACGCGACTCTGTTTCGGACTGCCTCTGACTCGACTGACTGACTCGCTCGCTCTGACTGACTGACACTCTTGACGGACTTCTGACAGACCTCACTCAAGACTTTACACTGAACAGTATTTAGTCCCCCCCACGAGGGCATCATGTGGCACAAGGCCGGTTTAACGTGGGATCTCCGAGCCCGTTGGCTCGGCCAAAAATATGCCCTTTGAACCCGTATAAACGGGTTCAGGGTCGGTTTACCTCCCCGAAAGAGAATCCGCCCTTCGGCGTAGCCTCGTTCGGGTTCCTCCCCACCCGAAGGCAGAGAGTTCAACCGATCAGCCGATCAACCGTTCGCCCGACTTCGGACTGAACTCCCTGCTTCCACTTGAGGCGCAGTATTTATTACGTATGGAATAGTCCATTATGTTATTATGGGTAAGGTCCCATAACAAAAACCAAAGTGGAAGCTGCACTGACAAAATTAAACAGAAAAAAAGCAGCAGAACTAGACGGAACTCTGATAGAGATGCTGACGGCCATAGATGATTTTGACATAGACAAGATTACAGGCATAACAAGTGAAATCTACAACAGTGGTGATATACCGGAAGACCTAATCGGGTCTATTTTCGTAGCACTGCCCATGAATCCAGACGCAAGCGAATGTGAATTCCATCGACAATCAGCGCCTAATGAGCCATATAAGGAAACTCTTTATGGTGAATAGAGCTTACAATAGGATCAGACCGGAAATAGGACCAAAACAGTGCGGGTTAGTCAAAGACACCGGAACAAGCAACGCGATATTTATGTTCAGAATGTTATCAGAAAGAGCAATACAAATGCAGAAGGACGTATAACTGTATTATATAGACTACGCAAAGACATTCGCTAAAGTAAGCTACAAAGATTTGTTAGAAATGCTTAGCAACCTTGTCATATTTAGGGAGGATATCAGAATCATTTAAAACATGGCAAAAAACGCCTGTATACGGATATAAGTTCAGCAGATATACATAAATATAGAAAGGGAATGTAAGACAAGGACGTGTCTCTTCACCAGACTTGTTCAACCTATACAGCGAGGGAATTGTGAAAGAATTAGATATCCTGCCGGAATTTGTTATGGCGACCACAATCTTAGCAACATAAGATATAGAAATGACAAAGTGTTGATAGCAGACACCGAAAGGAAACTACAAAACATCCAACAGAAGGTAGCGAAGGAGAGCCAGAAGAAAACACGGAATGTAAACCACTAGATGACAGAATGAATGGTTATAAGCAAAAGGAACAGCCCAAAATACAAATTAAAAATCGACGATACTAAAATCAAACAAGTATAAAAATTTTAAATATCTAGAAAGTGTGCGTAAAGAGGACGTAAAGTGACACTGAGAGCCAAAGATGCCCACCAAAAGCTAAGCAGAGTATTAAGAGACAGAAAAACTTCATTAGAAAAAAAGAAAAGAGTACTGAACAGTTACCTGATATCTGTCCTCTTATATGGCAGTAAATGCTGGACAATCTCCACATAGATGAAAAAGAGACGTGAAACAACTGAAATGGACTGAACAATGAGCAACGGCATGGTTTTAGAGAAAATGGAAACCAAAAGGAAACTTATACTTAACTTCAAAAACAGCCAGCATTAATTCCTGGGGCAAGTATTGAGGAAGGAGGGTTCGGAAAATCTGATTCTCCCAGGATGGAACGAGAAAAGAAGGACGCAGGAAAACAGAGCGTAACAAACTTATTGGGGTTGAGTAAAGGAATGGTAGAAATTTTGGGAGAAATTGCAAAAACAGAAAAATTATTAAGAGCTACAAAGGTCAGGAGGGATATGATCGCTTACGTCCTGAAGGGACACGGCACACATAGCGAAGAAGAAGATTACGAATGCTATGTAAGCTGCTGAGCTTGTTAATTAATTACCTGATACGGCCAGATCATTATGGCCGCGTTCGGGTTAAAGATTATTGTGGGGGGGTCATTTTTCTGTTTTATTATAGGGAAGCTTCTGATATCTTTAGTTCACGGTTAAATCACGTTGAAAACACCGATTGCAGTTCGATCAACAAATATGGTAAGTGAATGTTGGTTTATCCGAGGTATTCATTCTTGAATTTGATTTCGGTAGGAAATTTAATTTTCATTGAGTAAGGATTTTAGTAGCCAGAACGTTGAGAAGTTTTAATTTTTTTCTAGTATATGATGAAACGTTTTATTATCTACAGGTGTTATATGTGGTTTATGTTTGGTTTGCTTTTGTGAAGTTATTAAAATAAGAAGGGGACTAAGACAAGGTTGAGTCTTCTCACCGGATTATTCAGTCTTTACAGTTAAGCAATCCTGAGAGAATTAGAAGTCCTACCAGAATCCATTATTTGCAGCCACAAACTTAACAGCATTAAATATGCAAATGACACAGTTTTGATAGAAGACATAAAAAGGAAAATACAGGAACTTCTATAGAATGTAGTAACGGAAAGTGAAAAGAGACAAATTCAAAGAAGTACAAAAATTAAAATAGAAAGTGTTGTAACAGAGGATAGAATATGCGACAACGAAATCCGAAGCTGCATTGGATTTGTGAAAGGTGCTTTTCAAAAGCTAAGCAAAGTATTAGGAAACAGGGAAATTTTGTTAGTAAACAAAGAAAAGATTACGTAATGTCTAATTAGCTCTACGATTATCCGCGCAATTTGCTGTCAATCCGATAACCTGAAAAACATAGAGTCATTCCCTCGTGGACTTTTTTTTTAAAAAAATCAGTCCTAGGAATGGATTGGTTGTTACGAACACCCAATCCAATTCGCGGAAAACGTGGTCTAGGTTCATTCAATTACTATGAAAGCCAGAGTCCCTATTAGCGTGTGATAGCAGAAGGAGATCAGGGCTTGGTCTTCCCTGATTGGGGTCGCCTTGGTGATGAGATACATGATGTTGAAAGACCCTAAATTCCCCCATGAACCAAGTCAATTTACATCACTGACGACTCCCACCGGCGCACTAATTATTAGCGTCTTATCAGTCTTTCTATATGGCAGTGAATGCTAGAGAATCTTATCACAGTTGAAGAAAGAGCTTGAAGTAACAGAAATGTGGTTTTACAGAAGGATGCTGAGAATACCATGGACTAAACAACGACGATATTTCAGAGAAAAGGGACTTTTATAGTTAGTATCGCAAAGATACTATAAAGATTACTGGGGATCACAATGATGAAAGAGGGCTTAGAAAACTTAACCTTGACACCACACATTGAAAACAACAGGCAAAGCTGCACATAACCTTCCTATTGAGCTCTTGTGAATGTTTGTCAGAAGAGGTATTAGGATAGAGAGCAAAAAATCAAAATTTACAAAGAACTACAAAGGACAGGAAATTGTGAAGAGCCATACTGTCTTACCTTCTGAAAGGACACGGCATAAAGAAGAGGAAGAATGCAATTAGTAATCTGGTAATTATAAAATAATTTAATATCTTTTATGTGGATTAAGCTGGATTTATTATATATGTCGCTGAGATTAATCTATATGTTAAACCAGTAGTAGAGCCCGGCGTTGCTCAGGGATGTAACAGTAAGAGATAGATCAAGTATCGACCATCATAAAGATTGAAAAATAAAATTGGCAAAGATTATTGTTTAAGGTTGACGGACACGCACGTCTTAATTAGTTT